GAACTGGTAGGATCTATCTCCAACAAATGCAAATTTGTGTTCAAGGATTATATTTTCTGACAAGAAAATTGCTGTTGAATTTATTTTGGTATTAATTGCGTTGAATCTTTACGATCCACAAGCAGTTATATTTCTGGATCTGACTTTTCAGTTGTGCCCCTTTTAAAGATATATGTATGTAGTATATATATATACATGAAATAAACATTTTCAAGATTTATTTTTGATTTTTAAAACGACTTTTTAATTAATTAGTAATTATTGAAACAACAAATATACAATTGATGAAATAAATAATAATAATTCACCCAGAGATTTAACTAAGGAGTCCGCGCCGGAATCTGCGCAATAATATGTACTGCATTCAGCTGTAAAAAGTGTATTATATCGTTTTAAAACTTCTGACCAATTGCATAAACCGACGTCGCACCAATCGAGATCAACCGCGTTTTGATTGAGGAAGAATATAACTTTGTCGGCGATACCAGTTTCACAAGCATATTTTACGGCAACGAAATTGGATGCAAAAGGGTCTAAATTGCTAGTTTTCCAACGATAGTCGCTGCTATTATAGTTGGCGGCAGTAAGTGGAATAGCATCCTTGGCTATGCCCAAAGCAGTGAGCAAGGTCTGTACACCACTCGTGTGTCCAAAATAAGCCACTACGTTGGGTGCGCTTGGGCTATCAAGATGAATTAACATGTCTTGAACTGCTCGACAATTAAGATGAGAATTTTCCTCGTATCCATAGCCTAGTTTGTGATAGTATTTCATATCGTCTTCGTACTCAAAAACGCTAACCTGTTCAGGTGTGAAGACCTGTAAAAGAATATAAAAGGTATAACACAATTAAGGCTTTCAAGTTTTGTTTTTAAAATTTGTGGGTTAAACAAAATGTTAAGAGTAATTGTATCTACAACTAATCTGTAATAATCCACATTATTAAAATAATTCAATCACCCTCAGGGTTTTTGCAACAGCAATTAAGTAAAATTTAATGACATACGCTTGAAAACTGTATTTAATGAAGAAAAATAAATGATCTTTTAATTTTATTTAGGATTTTCGGGAATACTTAGCATCAGGTACATCTCTTTTTAGTCCCCAACAGTAGTCAGCTAACATATTTGAACTCCATTTTCCCTGGTACCATTTTTCTGTGT